AACTTCGATTCATTATCTATATATTAACACAAATTAACTATTGACTCAGTTATTCATAAATTTTCTAACCTAAACTACAACCCTAAAAAATCGATGGTAAACTAAAGGTCAATGCCTAAAAAAGTCTCTTCTTTAATGCATCTGGAACAGCCCGTACTGAAACTAGCACGGGCCGTTCCAGATCAACAAATTACAACAATAAAAATTCGTGGGGACAGGGATGGGTATCATGAAACTCGTACCCGACCCGCCCCAATGCCATCCCTAATCTTATCTTTCCTTTTCATCATGATCTCTAAAAACTCAATTTCTTCCTCCTTTGTCGAGACCCATAGTGCTTTAATAACTTCAGTTAGGGTTGAGCCTCCTCCAACTGTCAAGATATCCCTTGATATTGAAGATAATGGGGTCGAGGACAAAGAAGATGGCTCTATCGATGTGACCCACCCACTGGCCGATAACCTGAATCTCATGTTGGCACCTAACTCCATAGCCGGTTTGGTCATGGAGACACACAAATATTTGGATTGGGTCTTGGACAAAGTGTTCGAGTATCCTTCTAAATTTATAGATGAGTCATTGCTAGATTTTCTCCAACATACCAATATTGTGAAGTTTAGCATGGGAGATTTATTGGAGGTCCAAAGGCCATTGGCCGAAGACTGAGTGTGTTGGGAAGGAGACAACGATGAAGCCTATTTTTCGTGTATAAGTGTTTTTTCAAACCCTTAAATGTCTGTCTACCTTTTGATCCTTTCATCGTTGGAGTATTATCGATTCTTAACATTGCCCATACACAACTTCATCCCAATAGTTGGGCACTCCTACAAGCATTTCAATTCATTTGCAATTTATTAGATATAGAGTCTACCCCAACAACTTTCTTCATTTTTACAAAACCAAGTTGGGCAACTCCTTAGGATTGCTATCTTTAATCAGCCATGCCCATGGAATGCTATTTAAGTTGTATACTGCTTCCTTCAAAACTTTTAAGGATGGCTTCTTTAAAATTTGACCAACAGTAAAGGTCGCATCTTCCTTTCTAAATATGGTCCCTAGGGATGGCAAAAACTCAGCCCCATGCATGCATGGATCATCTACGTCAACATGACCTTGTTTCTTCTCTTTCCTCGTGACCTTGTGCACCCCTTTATTAGGCCTAACCCTATTTGCCAACATAATCTAAACATTGGATCCCACATGATTATTCATATTTTTTAGATAGTGTTAGGGACCCATTCGTAACAACTAAGATATTTTCTCTCATGCCTATCTTTTCAAAATATTTATCCTTCCCCAATACATGCATAATTGTGTTGTAAATAATTTGTTTTTATTTTATTTTCATGATTTTCATTTCACAATCAACCAATCCCCATGCGGTTGTAGCAAATTCATCAAGACATCTGAGATCTCGTAATCACTCTTCTCTTTTGTCTTCTCATCAACGTTGCCATCTCCACTCAATGTTGACAGACCTCCACCCTTTGCCATTGACTCCCTACCCTAGGCACTCTTCTCCGTCGCTATAGGAGGAATCACACACACACACGAGCGACATGGTCATAACAACCACACGTGGTACAAAGTAAATGCAAGCCTGCATATTCTACTTTGTACCATACGTTGTTGAGATTAAACATGCTTAACACCGGTTTATGGATGTCAATTTAAAGATAAACTCTAGCAAACCTCCCTCTAGTCATATTAAGGGTGTTGAGATTAACCTTAATAGGCCTTTATATCTTTGAGTCTATGGTAAGAAGAACGCTCTCATCATAAAACACCATGCCTAGTCCTAGAAAGCAGACCCAAACAAGGGTGTCCTCCTTTGCCTTAGAGGCCACAAACTTTGGTGATCATTGTCTGATAGTCAAGTAATGATCAAAGAGCATCCATGGGCATCCTTGCATTACACGCTCTCTATCAACATCAAGATCAAATTTCATCTGAAATAGCCATGTGATATATCTATTACTTCTAAACCCCCTTGTAATTTCAAAGCATTTGCAACCTACTCTGAATAGTAATGAAACCAATGCTCTTCCCCAACAACTTCACCACCATACATTATTTTTAATGGTTTGCACAGTTTCACAAAGGTTGATTCAGCAATAGTGAACTTAGGAAGGAAACAATCACCACCTTCATACTCCAAGGACATATAACACCCTCCTTGAGGAGATCATGTATCGGAGAGGATAACGAGGGCTCCCCATAACTTTTTTCTTGAACGTTTTACTTGATCGACTAGTGTCTCCCCCTCTATATAGAGGTTTCAACAACTTCCAATATTCCTTGGCACAAAGAAAATCCTAGCGGTACTCATTCTTTTTCAAAAAGTTATAAGGGTTCGTATTTAATATGTAGAAGTTGATTTATTATAAGAAAATATTAAAATTTAATTTATTAACAATTATGATAAATAAAAATTGAATTTGATATGAAGTTAAAAGAATCCTAAAATCCCTCTCATTGAAGAAAAATTCATAAAAAGGTCCTTGCACAAAATTATCAATTATGCTTTATATATAAAAGTTAGATTATATTATTATACAAGATTACTTTTAGAAGTTGATATTCATAAAAATATTAATTCTTGATCATTTTTAAAATATTGAAATTCAATTTAAAATAAAAATAAAAATGTGTTAAGAAAAATCCTTAAAAATATTTTTATTAAAGAAAATCAACTAAAAATATTTTTAGCAAAGAAAAATTCATAAAATACTCTATAAAATAACTATAATTTTTATTAAAAAATATATATTAATTTTTACATGAAAAACCTATGAGTTGGGTTTGTTAGAAAAATTCTTTACTCATAACGTTACAAACCCTTATTAGCAACATTTAATTCGGGAGTTTATTGTAAAATTATAAGAGCGCGCATGAGCTCGATCTAGAACTAAACCATACTAATAACTCTAAAAGAAAATTGAATTAGTTTTTATCCTCAAACATTTTTTTATTTGTGTTAAAAAAGCTTTTTATATTAAATTAGCTCCTTAAAGAAAAACTTGTATAAAGCCGATCTTTATTACTAAAATACGTGTGCAAGATTAGTCCTTCTTAAATTATAAGTACTGAACTTAGTATGCTTTAATTTTAGAATAACTAGTTTAATATTAAAAAAAATCTGTAAAATTGAAAATAAATTTAATTTTTTTAGGTGGTTAGGTACCGGATTATAAGAACAAGGGTGTATCGCCAGTTCGCCCCACGCACCATATCTACGACACTTATCATCAATTTGCAACACATGCAACGATTCTACGTTTTTTTTTTCTTTCAAAAACTTTGAAGTGTAATAGTAGTACATTACAAATACACGTATCAGCATGCATTCATAGATACCCATTGAACCGAATAGATAGCGCATGCAACAATATATATCAGGTATCAACTCAGCAGCCTCATATACAACAATACTAGGTATTTCTGTAAATGAACCAAGTAAATGTTGGTATCACAAATAACGCTTTAGCATCCATATTCCTCCATTTCAGTTCCATGCTTCTCACTGTAAGCTCTAGCTGGTCATACGAATCTCACCATATTGTTGCATAAAATGAAGAATAACAATATATAATTTTTTTTCCTTGTTTAAATCAGGTGTCCATTCACATGAAGCTCTGGTTACTTGTTTCACCTGCACCACTACTACGCACAAAATAACATTCAGCATCTTAATATATAGTTCCAATTATAATTATTAATTTATAATGCATTATTTGGAAACAGAAGCGGCTAGGCAACTACAAACCCACCTCTTGCGTTTGCTTTTAGAGCCACTAGAAGAAGAAGGATTAGTATGCCAATTCCTTTTCCTTTGATTTATGAACCAGTTATTTATCTGCTTTAATTGCAAGCCTGTTTCCTGCACCAACCTTGCCTTGTCTTCTTCCTGAAACAACATTCATGAGTGCAACTAAAAATATCAGCAGTCATCGAAGAGACAAATGCCCAGCAACATCAACATAAATGCAGATCAATCCTTCGTTAGGTACATTGGGACAATAATCTTATCCTGTTCCACTCAATTTATGTCATGACTTGAGTCATAGTTATCTCCTCATCGTTATAGCCACTAAAATTTTTAAATATAAAAGTCGAAAAAGATGATGGTCCACATATGACATGACACAAATATAGTAATATAATCAAGTTTCTTCATCTAGCTACTATCACGTACGTATTCTTTTAAAATACATATGAGGGTGTATAAATATATATATATATATATATATATATATATATATAAATATTTTAACAAGCAATCACAGGTGTTAATGTCTAAACTTACTGTTGGATATGGCCATTTAGAATGTGACTGCCACCAAGCTTTTAAAAGGGATGTGGTGTCGCCTGGGAGCTTCCCCGCTCTTCTCTTTCGTAGAATTTCTTCTCTTATGTCCACAATCTTGTCCTTATAACCCTGGTAGAGCAAAAGGTTACTAAAGTAATTAAAGTCACTCATTGGTGCTTTGCAAAAATAAAGAAAATATTACATGGTACAGGATTATATGATCTAAATTAATCTCTACATGATACATAATTAACGATATGTTATATAAAGATTAGTCAAAACCACACATAGTCTTGTATAAAATAATTTCTTGACAAAATGTCTCATACAAGATGTTTGTATATTCTTAACTAACTATATACCTGTTTTAACTCATGCTTCAACTCCTGCCTCACACGCTCCATCAAGGATCTTTCGGTCTCAGTGGGAACAAGAGGGCCAAAGCTGAGGCTATCAGCACCATCCATGCTTCCTTCGTATAAGTTGGCATTACTCTCAGCCTGGTCTTCTTCATCATCGGACATTGTTGCACCCGTTCCTTCACCGGGAGATACACCTGTTCATGCACCATATATAGCTTCAATTTAAATCATCTTCCATTTATTATGTATGCATGCACGTACATGCAGAATAATAATGATGGAAAAGATGATATATTGAATTCTATGGTTTCTACTTTCTAGACTTTTCTTTCTCTAAGAGGTTGCACACAAGCACCATCTTTACTGAGGAAGACGATGAATACAGTGGAAATCTTATATTTTAGTCGTATCCCGATTCATGCAAGTATGTCTTTTGTTTTTATGCATACATACTAATAAAACTACTGTAACTGATTCTTTCCCACTTGATAATCACTAATACCCGTGTGAATAATGGAAAGCTAAAGCTCAAAGATCAATGACATGACTCCTGCATTATATATGTTATATATACTCCTCTTCGTCAAGACGCTAGCTTGCAGAGAAAACCCTTATAATAAGGCTTTTAAGTCTTAATGATACTGTCCCAGTCCATTGTCTGGTTTATTAACTTGTGATGAAAAAACCTTAAAAATAGTTACTTAAAATCTTAAAAAGGATAAGAAATGTATATTTGCAAATTTTCTTTATTATTATCACATAACATCACATTATTTAAATAATAAAATGAAGATTACACATTTTCATGAATTTTTTCCTCATCAAACAAATGAAACGTAAAAAGTGCGTAGACCTTATACTTTAAAATCTTGTGTTGTTAAAATCGGACTGCACTGACCGATCAGAGTCGTCTACTGAGACTTGAACATGTCAGACTAATTTATTTACAAAGCACTGGTGTAAAATCAAGTAAACTGATTTAAAATCGGATATAACCAGACAAAAGCAACAAGTTGGAACCAACTTGTTGGAAAGAGACTTTTTTTATTTATTTTAATTGAAAAAAGTATTTATATTTTTGTACAAATAAGTTGTTGGTCCATATAGAATTGGGCTGTGTTCTTTTATTCTTGTGGATGAAAAAATAAAAACTTAGTTAGAAGGTGAGAAATTTTGATTAAAAATAATTAAATAGATTTTTTTTATAAAAATTAGTATCCTAATTAGTAATATGGATAACAAAAATAACAAAATTTTTGGACAATATTAAACATAAGCTGAAATTAGGATTATGTTTAGATTTTTTTTTTATCTATTTTTATGATTAACATCTTATTAGTACAAAATATATAATCATTTTTCATCTATAAGGCTAAAATATTTTTTCTTAAAAGATTTGATGTTATGTCCAATTCTATTCGAACTAAAGATACGTTGGTATGTATACTTTTTACTTAATATTACCAATTATAGTATATTATATATGAAAAGTTAAAATATTATTTAATTATTACCTATTTATTTTGAGATTAAATTATTAAAACTTTAATCTTTACTTTCACTAGTTCAACTATTGGTTAGTTTTAAAAACTTTCCTAAAAGCTTAAGCAACATTTATAATTATCTTTACTTACAATATGAAGGTTTTTTTTTTTTTCCAAATTTTTATTCACTGCAAATTTCTTTCTTTGATATTTGATTTTAATTAACTCTCTCAACTAACTTTTATGCATGGAATAACATTATCTTTATATATACTGAAACCTGCCTCTCTCTCCTGCCGCCCGTTGGATAAATTAAATTAAGTTCTTGAACATTAAATTTAATGAGCCCGTTTGTTTAATAAAGAAAGAAGTAGGAAGTTGTTGTCTGATATGCTGATTCAGAAATAAATTTGTTACTTGCAAATGGGGGTCGTAATTTATGATACAATAACATGGAAGATAGAAACTACGATTTTTGTGATAGTTGAAACCTACCGGTCAAGCTTTGTAGCGATTGCTCGAGCTCCCAACAAGCCATAACAGCTTCCATGGCATGAACACGAACATGTTGTTGCAATTGTTCTTTGAAAGCACAGAGTAGTATAACATAATGCGTCTACAACAATATATGACCAGAACTTGTGTATTAAGGAGCTTCATGCAAAATCAAGCACATATGTCATGCAAACTAATCTCAATAATATGGTAACTAACTATAAATATCCAAACCAAAACATTCAGAAGAAGGGAAATGGAATAAGTTATAATTCAACATACAAAGCTTGTGTTATATATTTTGATGTGACTTGGGATGTATTTTGATATATATATATATATATATATATATATATATAAAATAAATAAATAAATAAAAAGAGTAAACTTTCTTATAAATTAAAATTAATTTATACATAAGTTAAAAATAAATATTTGAAAACACCAATAAAAAATAATTTCTACAAATTAGTTTCATATACTACTTTTAATGTATGAAAAAAGTTATCTTAATTTTTCTTCATTCTTTTTCTCTTATATTCAAACATATTATTAGTAACAAACTAGTTTGATCGTTCATGATTTCTCGGTCAATGCAAGCTAGAACATGCATTAATAAAATATTGAAAACTTTTTAACACTCTTTGCTTCTCTTTCTGTGTGAAGTGACTATCAAGTTTCAATATTGAACACTGGAAATGAATACACCTCGATTGATATATGCGATAATAATAAATAAATACGCCAACTGCTATCCACTGGAGGACAACTACAATAACGAGTTAGGTCCCATTCCTTCATTATTGTAGTTGGGCAAAAACAAGTAGCGTATACGAGGGGTAAACGGTCGACAAAACTTGTCTGCAACTCCTTCAAGTTGGTACAGTATGTGTGAGAACATAATCTCCAAGAATTCAAGAACTCATAACCACCACATTAAGTTTCACCCAAAAAGAATAAAGAAGTGAAACATGTATGGAAGAAGTGGAAAGATTATGTTAAGGCACGTTAAGATTCTAGAAGGAAAAAAACACTCTCTGAATTAAAGGAAGCACAATCACGCACCCTTGAATAGCGTTATTTCAATACTACACCAGAACAATTCGGATTCATTTACTCACTAGCCGTACCACCGTCCGTTCCAACACGTAAAAGAAACACTACTACTGTATTACTTTTTCCACTCTCTCTCCCTCGTTTTTTGTCCATTTCATGAATTCTGCTCCTAGCACAACCTACAAGCGTGTAACTGTTCTACTGCAATCGACACACAGTGTCCTTTCTTTTATTTTATTCAAACGGTAAACAACAAATTCCGGAAAATCAGGTCCTCTAAGCTTAGCCAAATAATAATAAAAATATAATAAAAAAATACACACGAATTGACCTTTGCCATTTATGAAAGAGCATTTATACTTGTAAATAAATTTCATTAAAAAAAATAAAGCAATAAAAAGAAACCAGCAAAAAAAAATGATTAATGTTATATCTAGAACAACAAGTGGTGGATTAAAATAGTACAATTCTTTAATAAAACGCAGGGAGAGGTAGATTAAACGACATTTGTGAAAGCACAAGAAAGCAGCTAGTAGTTGAGAGTTTGGAAAAGAGAAACGACAAGACAAGCGAAAGGAAACAAGCTAGCACGCCCTTAGATCAAATGATTTAACTCCTTGGAAAGTGAATTAAAGTAGCGGACATTAATCATGGAATAGGATTGACATAGAATAATGATGTATGATGTATGATGGATGATAAAGTTTATTATAACGAAGGAAATTAATTATAATAATAGTAATAGGTTTTGGAGAAAGCAAACCATGAATTGATCAAGGTCCTTGTCATCAACGACGGCGTTTCCGAGTGCAGAGTATTTGTCAACGACGCGCTGCGACTGCTGAAGCTGAGCGTCGATCCTCGGAAGCTGGTCAACGGGGGTGGCGATCCTCAAACAGGAGACGTGAGCGGAAAGGAGCTGATCGTAAAGTGGGTGTCTCAGAATGTCTGCTTTGTATTCCGCCAAATCGTCCGCTTCCGAGTTGCTCTCCGTCCGGTTCCGATCCATGCCCCCCCGAACGTCGTCGTTTTGCTGCGCCCCCACCGACTCCGGCTGCAGGTGGAGGAAATTCTGCTGCCGGACGCTCCCGCCGTTCAGCCACGTCGGCGCCCCGCCGGAGAGCGGCAACAGCCGCTGCATGTCCCTGCTCTGACCTAACTGCTGCTCCTCCGCGAACGCCTGAAACGTGATTTCGTGCGGTAGATGCTCATGAAACGCCATTTCCTGCGCTGCTTAATTAATTACTCGATTAATTAAGCACGTTTTCTCTCTCTCTCTCTACCTCTCACTCACTGCATTTAATTTGATTTCGCGGATTGGAGAATCAGAGTGAGGGGGGAAAGGGTTTTTTATGGGGGAAAGACTTTTTGAAGAGTTGACACGAAGATCGAGGGGAATAGGAAGGGATCGGAGGGTGGGATTGGTGATAACGTGGAGGGATTTGTGGTGCCACCTTATTGGAGATTTTTCGTGTAATAAGACAAGGCTCGATCAATGATGTTGGAGGCACCTAATAATGACATTATTATTATTAATTCTTTAATCATGCCATTAAAATAATCCTATTTGCATTCTTTACTAATGTTTCGCCTTTCGCCTCCTGTTTCATAAATATATTAAGAATAAGATATGGTTCCGCGAGAGGACACAACACACCCTGCCGACGTGTTGTCTTCGTATTCTTCTTGGTGGATAGTCGAAGATATCTTTAAAAAAAAAATAGGGACAAAAAATCGGTTTTACTGTTTGACGGGAAAATTAAATTTTAATTCAAAGATGCGGACTTTTAAGAAGAGATGAATCGGTCCTAAATCCTAACTCTCCTATACCTTTGTTTTCGTACTGCACAAAATACTAAAAAAAAAATAAGGACGGTCACAAAAGGTTCTAGGTCATGTTTAGGGCACAAAATAGGGTGGCAATAGGTCATGTTAGGCATAACCAAAAAAAAAAAGTGATGTTAGGTGTATCGTAGGTATTGGCGCGAGACTAGTGAGCAATCCAAGACTTGAAGGTAGAGGAGCAACGCAAAGTAGAAGAAAAATAATATGAATTAAACTTGGGTTCAGATTAAATATAAGTCTGCAAACATACTTTTGAGGAAAATCTAACATATGATCAAACTAAATTTATTTGGACAAACATGTGTTACAACAGACCACAAGGTGAATTAAACATATCCTTAGTCTTTCAAAATCAAATTAAGTTTGAAGTCGTTACGAAAAAGTGTTTACATTTAAAGTTGTATCAAACAAATTTGTCTCGATAAAAAGATACATAAAAAAAAACTTAAATATAATTTTAGTTTTTCTAATTTTTATTTTAATTCTTGTAATTTTTTCTTTATTTAAAACATGTTTGATTTGTTTTTACTTGATTCCTAATGTAACTAATTATTACTAACATTAACAAGTGTCACTTTAGTAATTAACAAAATTATTAAATGTTATATTATCAAAATATATCACATTAATAATGTACTGTCATGTTAAGTTAAGAGGATATATACATTTATTTAATATTTATTAAATTTTGATAGAAGATTGTTTTTGTATTTAATAAGAAATACTCTTTGATAATTAATCATATATATATATATATATATATATATTTCATAAAGTAAAAAAAAAAGAAAAAAATAATATTTGCATCCATTAAAAAGGATGTATGAAGTTAAATATTTATTATAAAAAGAATGCTTATGTGAATAGACATGTAAAAAAATTTGACATGAAAAATGAACATTTAAGGGTACCTACATACTGACATAAGCTAGGCTTATTATTGTTTGATTCACAATTACAAAGTTTAAGTCTAATTTTTTATTTATTTATTAACAGCCATTTTTTTTTTAAGTCAAACTTGAGAATACACCTTACATATTTCACTATTATAGGCCTTTAAGTGAGTTAGGCCAAGGATAAATATTTTAAATAAGTAAAACTTATTTCAGTGAAAAATATTAATGTGTATTTAACTACATAGCTCCGTATGTAGAAGGAACAAATTCTCAACAAAATTTTAGAGCATCATGGGTCAACTTCATGGTGGGAATATACAGAAACATAAGATCATAATACCACCATTAGAAATCCTTCAAATAAATTAGGTCCTGTCAGTAAGCTTTTAGACTAGGCCAGAATAGACCTTAATAATTATAGCATATAACAAAAAAATAAATTAAACTCAAAATTTGTAATTTTTACCTAGATTTATTTCATATTTAAATATTTAATTTAGAATTGAAATATTTTTTTAAAATTTATTAATGTTATTTTTTCTTTTAATTCCTATAAATTTTTAGTATTAATTATTTAACAATTTTGTTGATATGATATTTTATAATATCATTAATGAGTACAGTTTTTAATAAAATATATTATATTAGATATAATTTTAAAAAGGAATCGAGAAGATTAAAATAATTTAAAAAAAAAAAAGAGTAATTAAAAAAATAAAATGAGTGGAAGCAATTAATATTTTAATAATGGCACAAAGAGTCTTACTATCCTTTATTCCCAGCGGACCCAAAACCCCAAAACGACGTATGAGGGGAGTGGCAGTGGTGTGGGCTGGGCACTACCCAACCCGACAGCGACGTGAGCACCCAGGAACGACACATGTCCTAACGAGGTTTCATGGACCACAACATAGTACTGCAGAAGATTTAGGAGTGCGGGCCAAAGGTGAATGAATGAGGTTAAGAGGTGGGGCTAGGATCGAACAGAACAGTGATGAGGTGCTGGCGGCTGAAGCATTGGTTTGGTTGCAGAGAGGTCACGCGGAACTGTTCCTGTGGTCCCTTTTGGGGTTAAAAGAAGGAAGAAGGGTTAGATTGGGATTGGAGTGTTGGGTCAGATTCATGAGAGTGGTCCTCATGCTCATGCTGCTGTGGGATCCACTCAACTTTCACCTTACTGCCACTGCTTCCTTTCCTTGCAATGCCACAGTGCCCCATACTTGTAGTAGTCTGCTACTCTCTGTTTCTGCCTTTGAGCATATCCTCATTAGCTTCGGTGAAATGTTGAGGTAATTTTAGTTTTCAATCATTCACCCTCACTATTTTCCACATTTTCCTTTTATTTTATAACATTTCTTTCTTAGTTTGCTACAACCAGTATTGTTCCATACAAGACAATTGATTCTGGTGTAAGATTTTTTTTTGTTAAAAGTCTTCGTGTTAGCGTGAATGGCAGGTAACGTAACTAGTTAATGTGAGCTAATGATAGTATTATTATCCAAAATTTATTATAATCATAATTAAGTTTCAAGGGAGTGTTTCATAGGAGAAAATTTTTACCATATTATTGCTCATAAATATTCCTCATATATTCTCATAAATTAAAAATATTTGTATTTTTGTATATATTAATATTTTTTATTAAAATAATTTTGTTAGATATATTTATTTACTAAAATTTTATTACAAATATGATATTATTTTTTTTATAATCTAATTACTTTTTTAGAGATGATAAAAAATTAATTATATATCTAAAAAATTATATATAATAATATTTGTATTTAATAAAATTTAAAATATTTTAAAAATTTT